GCACTCCGCTACCTGCATAAGGAGGAGAGAGAATCAAAGACAAGCGTCGTGATGATCTCATCGCAGCGAGCTTAGCATAAAGCTTTGTCCCAAATCACAAGCAGCACGTTCGTTGCGTCGCGGACCTAAAAATACTTAAAAATCGGAAAATAACTCGCAAAATATTACTAAAAACCCGTAGAAGTCGCGTTCAATATGTATTGCTAATTGCAAAGTACAAAAAAAGCCCGAATAAGCCTGAAAAAGCCTGAAAATTAAATTTTTGTATTGTGAAAAGCCTGAAAAGTGTGTGGGGAGAGCCAAAGGTCTAGCTAAAAGTTAAGTAATGATCGCAGCATAAGTGAAAATGATAATATTCAGTGTTCTAGTAGCAGTAAAAATGGGGAAAAACGCCGACCTGCAAAAAGTCTTTTGCGTCGCAGCTGTCGCGCTGCTTCCAGCGCTCATTTGGAGTGTGCATTGAAACGCAAGAAGAAATAACGGAATCATTTAAAGCTGTTGTCGTACAGGATGGTCATCGGACGGCAAGGAGTGCAAGGAGGATTGCAAAAAGTGAGTGAAAGTGAAAAGTGAAAGCGCTTGTGAAAACAAAACAGTTAAATGCACCGCAAGGACTAAATAAAGGAGCGGAATAAGAAATACAGCGCAAGTGATAGTGAAAAGTGAAAAAAATAACCGGCCTGCCAAAATTCTATTGCGTCGCCGCAGCTGTCGCGCTGCTTCCACAGTGGAAACGCAGAAAGAAAGGAATAGCGAAATCATATTATACTGTTGTCGTACAGGTGTGCAAGGAGGAAAGGATTCCAAATGCTGTTGTCGTACAGGATGGTCATCGGACGGCAAGGAGGGAAAGGATTTCAAATGCTGTTGTCGTACAGGATGGTCATCGGACGGCAAGGAGGGAAAGAATTTAAAATGCTGTTGTCGTACAGGATGGTCATCGGACGGCAAGGAGGGAAAGGATTTAAAATGCTGTTGTCGTACAGGATGGTCATCGGACGGCAAGGAGGGAAAGAAGGATCGCAAAAAGTGAAAGTGAAAAGTGAAAGCGCAAGTGAATGAAAACAGTTGAATGTACCGCAAGGACTAAAGAAAGGAGCGGAATAAGAAATTGAGCGCTAGTGAGGGAAAAATGTGAGTGAAAAGTGAAAAATGAAAGAGCATGTGAAGAAAAACAGTTGAATGTACCGCAAGGACTAAAGAAAGGAGCGGCCTAAGACATTGAGCGCTAGTGAGTGATAAAAGTGAGTGAAATGCTGCGATCAAGTGAGTGCAAGTGCAGTAGGGAGTGAATTGAGGCAATATGGGCAATAAGTGAGTGTTAGAGCGCGAGTGAAAAACGAAATAAAATATAAACAGCAACTACAGACAGCGGAAAGAGAACGGGACTTCACTGAGAGAGGTTTAAGAACGGAGGTGCATAGCATTAGTAAAATGCAAGGTAATTCTACACGAGACTCTGCACTATATTATATATTACTTTGCACGTTATATTAACACAATATTTTATACATTTTTATTCATACAAAACTTCTATATTTATTTCTAGGCCCTCAGAGCGGAGGATCATAGCTCTTTTTTGATTTCGTCAGAAGACAGAAAGCAGAAGACATTTCATTCTGAGCATTAGTAAAATTCAAGGTAATTCTAATCTAGACTCAACATTTCTATCCATATCCATATTTTTGCTGGCCTTGGGGAAGGCAGGAGGAGCCCTAAGAGTTTTCTAATATTATCTGGTATTTTTTTATGTTTTCTAGAATTTTAGAATATATTTCGAATATGTTTTCAGATATTTTTCTGGTAATATTTCTGTTTTTTTTTTCTGGTTGCCCACAACTTTTATGAAACAATTATAGAAATTTTTAAATGGGTTCTTCTTTCAAACCATTGAGTGTTGCCTCCTGCCTTCTGCCTCGTCCTGTGGCAATAAGAAACGATTATTGAAAGCGTCTTTCTTTCGTGTCTGCACCTCCGATTCATAAATAGGTCGTAAAATCAGCAACAACAGCACAAACACACACACACACACACACATTGCAATAGTAAAGCCACTCTCATAATTGCTCTCTTTACTCTTCGCCCACGCATGCGGTCAATGCTCTCGCGCTGCCTGCAGTGGAAGCAGAGAATCATAGATAAGACGTCGCGATGATCTCATCGCAGCGCCATTTGCTTAAAAGTTTTAAGTTAAAACCTTGTCCGAAATCTGACCGCAGCAGCACCTCCGATTCATAAATAGGTCGCAAAATCAGAAACAACAACTCAAACACACACACACACACACACACACTCATTGCAATAGTAAAGCCATTCTCATAATTGCTCTCTTTACTTTCAGACAACGCATGAGACCATTGCACTCCGCTACCTGCATAAGGAGGAGAGAGAATCAAAGACAAGCGTCGTGATGATCTCATCGCAGCGAACTTAGCATAAAGTTTTGTCCCAAATCACAAGCAGCACGTTCGTTGCGTCGCGGACCTAAAAATACTTAAAAATCGGAAAATAACTCGCAAAATATTACTAAAAACCCGTAGAAGTCGCGTTCAATATGTATTGCTAATTGTAAAGTAAAAAAATAGCCCGAATAAGCCTGAAAATTAAATTTTTGTATTGTGAAAAGCCTGAAAAGTGTGTGGGGAGAGCCAAAGGTCTAGCTAAAAGTTAAGTAATGATCGCAGCATAAGTGAAAATGATAATATTCAGTGTTCTAGTAGCAGTAAAAATGGGGAAAAACGCCGACCTGCAAAAAGTCTTTTGCGTCGCAGCTGTCGCGCTGCTTCCAGCGCTCATTTTGAGTGTGCATGGAAACGCAAGAAGAAATAACGGAATCATTTAAAGCTGTTGTCGTACAGGATGGTCATCGGACGGCAAGGAGTGCAAGGAGGATTGCAAAAAGTGAGTGAAAGTGAAAAGTGAAAGCGCTTGTGAAAACAAAACAGTTAAATGCACCGCAAGGACTAAATAAAGGAGCGGAATAAGAAATACAGCGCAAGTGATAGTGAAAAGTGAAAAAAAAAACCTGCCTACCAAAATTCTATTGCGTCGCCGCAGCTGTCGCGCTGCTTCCAGCGTGGAAACGCAGAAAGAAAGGAATAGCGAAATCATATTATACTGTTGTCGTACAGGTGTGCAAGGAGGAAAGGATTCCAACTGCTGTTGTCGTACAGGATGGTCATCGGACGGCAAGGAGGGAAAGAATTTTAAATGCTGTTGTCGTACAGGATGGTCATCGGACGGCAAGGAGGGAAAGGATTTAAAATGCTGTTGTCGTACAGGATGGTCATCGGACGGCAAGGAGGGAAAGGATTTAAAATGCTGTTGTCGTACAGGATGGTCATCGGACGGCAAGGAGGGAAAGAAGGATCGCAAAAAGTGAAAGTGAAAAGTGAAAGCGCAAGTGAATGAAAACAGTTGAATGTACCGCAAGGACTAAAGAAAGGAGCGGAATAAGAAATTGAGCGCTAGTGAGTGAAAAAAGTGAGTGAAAAGTGAAAAATGAAAGCGCATGTGAAGAAAAACAGTTGAATGTACCGCAAGGACTAAAGAAAGGAGCGGCCTAAGACATTGAGCGCTAGTGAGTGATAAAAGTGAGTGAAATGCTGCGATCAAGTGAGTGCAAGTGCAGTAGGGAGTGAATTGAGGCAATATGGGCAATAAGTGAGTGTTAGAGCGCGAGTGAAAAACGAAATAAAATATAAACAGCAACTACAGACAGCGGAAAGAGAACGGGAACTTCACTGAGAGAGGTTTAAGAACGGAGGTGCATAGCACTGCTTGTTTTTTCAATTGAGCATTAATAAAATGCAAGGTAATTCTACACGAGACTCTGCACTATATTATATATTACTTTGCACGTTATATTAACACAATATTTTATACATTTTTATTCATACAAAATTTCTATATTTATTTCTAGGCCCTCAGAGCGGAGAATCATAGCTCTTTTTTGATTTCGTCAGAAGACAGAAAGCAGAAGACATTTCCTTCTGAGCATTAGTAAAATTCAAGGTAATTCTCTTCTAGACTTAACATTTCTATCCATATCCATATTTTTGCTGGCCTTGGGGAAGGCAGGAGGAGCCCTAAGAGTTTTCTAATATTATCTGGTATTTTTTTATGTTTTCTAGAATTTTAGAATATATTTCGAATATGTTTTCAGATATTTTTCTGGTAATATTTCTGTTTTTTTTTTCTGGTTGCCCACAACTTTTATGAAACAATTATAGAAATTTTTAAATGGGTTCTTCTTTCAAACCGTTGGCGTTGCGTCCTGCCTTCTGCCTCGTCCTGAGGCAATAAGAAAAATTTATTGAAAGCGTCTTTGACACACGCTCCGCCTCCCCCTCCCACACTGTCCTCCCATGCTTCGAGTGCATTTGCATAGCAAGTGCTGTGCGAAATTTACACAGATTTATGTTAATTTATTGAATTTAATTTGATTTTCTCCACTCGCACTCTCTCGAACGCGCTCTCTTGAAACGATACTCGACGCGTATGTTGTGTGTTGCAGGTGGCATTCGGCATGCGGTATGGGGCGAAAATTCAATCAAGTTTTGTGCATAAATTACACCTTTTTTGCACCCCTCAACAGAAAAAATAGCAAAAAAAAAGGTATAAGACCTCAACGCAGAATAACAACAATAAGGCGACCATTTGTTGCTATGAACCAAATTTTATTTTATGTTTCATAATGGCAAAAGTTTTTGTCCGCCTTTTTGTGTCTGGGATGTCTGCTATTTGTGTGGGTGAAAGGAGGGTCTTGTGAGGTCAGATCATTAAAATGGAAGAACCGGAGAACCCCAAAATAAAAAAGGTACTTCCGATGACCAGCCGCCTCTCCTTCGTCTCGTCATCCTTCTGCTTGTGTGTTTGTATTCATTAAGTAATTGGGCGGCAGGTGAGAGAAAAGTCGGAGATCCATGACCGAAGCTGCTCCTTGTGCGGGTCACTGCGGCTTGTGGCATAAATTATTTATATTCTAATTTAATTATCATTTAATTTGTCTCCCGATTATTCGTGTGTTCCTTTTGCCAGAGGTATGATTGTAGTTCTGCTATTTCGCCCTGCTGGATAAGGTAAACGATGGCCATGAAAATCACGACGTTAAGCAGCAATTTAAAGTGCACCAAAATGGTATTTAAAGTGAGAAAAGAGGTCCGCTTTCTTAGCTTTCCAGAGAGGAAGCAAATGGAAATTCGCTGATGATCCAAAATGTTGATTTGTGAATGGAACTGCAAAAGCAAAAAAAAAAAAAACATTCTTAGGGTAAAAAGGAAAGTGTCAAGGAAGTCAAATATTACTTGCCAGTATATCAATGATATCGAACTGAGATGCCATTTCAGTTTTCCCTTGATTAGAGTTGCTTTTGATCTTTTCCTCGAACTTGATGTGCCAGCAATGCTCAATCAATGATTGATATTCGCACTGCTGTAGCTGTGCGGCAGCCAGGAGAAGCAGCCACAAGGCCAAATGCCAGGATAACAGATAGATGGACTCCTTTAGCAGCTCCTTTGGGCATGGGAGATCTTCCAAATTCTTGCCATTCCATGCCGCTTCATCCTCCAGATCATCGCGACTCTTTTGCTGCTGCAGCAACTCATTCGAATCGAAGTGCAAAATACGCGAAAACTCCACAATGCGAATGGCAATCAGAAACACAAAGCAATCATACGACACTCGAAAGTAGAAGCCCGCCAAGAGATTGACTCTCTTCTGTATGGGAAATATCATCCTCAGGAGCAGCTGAAAGCATTTCAGATTCCGGTTTAGACGTAGATTTTGCAAAGATTGCAGCCATCCTGCATTTAACAGATGAAACACGATGTGCAGGGCTATCAACAGCATGAAGATGAGTCGAGGGATGCCCATTAGATAGTTGGAAATGTTGTAGATATCTTTGGCAGTGTAAATCTTTCGTTGGACATCTTCAATTGGAGGAAATTCCAGCCAGAACATTTTGTAGCCCATGAGGAGAAGCAGGAAAAGCAGAATTCCTGCATAGATGAGAGGCCTGCAGGAGCATTCCAGGGCCAAGTGTCTGCCCAGCAGGGCTTTCATTTGTTTGTAGGCCATTTGTGATTGATTGACCAAATGCCAGAGGGATTTATGTCGAATCAAAGACGCTATCATGGCCACGACATACACTGAACTCCGCAGGTACTCGCATCTAATGCGGAAAGTATCTGCGGGGGGTCGCGACTCAATTTCCAGGGTATTCATCATTGCATTTTCCACTTCCAAACGATTGCGGGCCACTTGATGCAGCAAAAAGATGCACACCACAAAGATACATGGAATGTATCTGTAGCAATTGTATCTGTGCGTATACACGCGCTGAGATCTGCTGAAACGGAGCTGCAGCAAACCCAAGGAATGGAAAACAAACCGAAATACCCGGAGCACTTTCCAGAGCCAGCGAATGCGTGACATTTCGAACGACAACTGACGAACTGACGGGGGAAAATGGGCACCCAAAACGTGCGATTTGTAATTGGCAATCCAAAGTGAGTGTACTCATAAACGTATTTTATTCACTCGAATTCATCATAGAAATAGAAGCGATAGACCTGACTAATTGTCTGCGTTACATTGCCATTTGAATTGACGTGCAGGAAATCGTCTCCATTTTCATACCAATGAATGTGTTTGTAGAACAATAAACGAAGGATTAGCAGGAGCAACAGCTCGCGTAGGTGTGTGAAGAGCAGAGTCCTGAATGTGGTCAGAGTTAGAGTGAGGAGACAGGACCTGTAACCCACAGAGGCAAGTAGCAGAGGCTGTGCCACCAATTGTGTGGCAGGAAAGTTTGTGGAGAACTGAAAAGGGGGAATTAATAATGGAAATTATGTAAAGAAAATGAGAGATCCACGCACCATTATAGTGACGATATCCTGTTGTCGCTTTAGATACTGGCGCCGCCTCATCAGAGTCACACCAAAGGCTTGGGGCAGCGTACGATGCTGCAAGAGGCGCCAGGACTTCAATACAAAAAAGTTGGGATCATCCCGCAAGCGAAGAAAGTTGCGCTGAAATCGTCTCTGTTGCCGCTGCAAATTCAAGCCAATCAGCAGCAGGAGAGCCAGCAGCAGCAGGAGTATCAGCATGTAGATCAATTGCAGACTCAACTGCTGACCCGCACCATGTTGCAACATCAACAGCAGCCGTATGCCAGGCAGGGCCAGAAAGCTCACAAAATGCAGACCAAAATATCGCGTGACCCGTCGATGAACGCGCCAAATGCTGGACTGTTCGCGCAATAGACCCCTGAGGATGCCCATGCGATCGCTTCGCATGTGCTTCGAGAGGAAGGCGTTCAGCGAACGGTAGATGCACGACAGCCACAGAAGATAGCTGCCAAAGAAGAGCAGTTCCAGGTGATAGATGAAGGCCACGCCCCCAATGAAGCACGACTGGTAGAAGGAGTACATGCGCAGCTGCCACGCGAGCCACAAAATGAACATACCAATCCATGCGAGAGTGTAGAAGCACTCGCGACGGATGCGCACACAAAGGAGGGTGCCCAGGATCCGCTGGATCCTTCTGTGGATCGTCGCACACTCGTTCAGCAGCTCCGTAAAGTGCCGTCGCAGCAGCAGAAAGTACACGTACAGCGGGACATACAACAGGAACACAAATGGATCGTAGATCCAGAGCTGGCTCAGCGAGAGATAGGCCAGGCTGGCCAGCAGATGCACCAGAGCCATCAGATGGACGTAGAGCTGCTCGTCGCACAGGAAGCGACGCTGCTGCTCCGCATAGCCCACATTGTAGTAGCCCAAATAGAGGCCAATCCGTCCGATTGTGTGCCACACGCTCATCAAGTGACACAAACAGAAGCCCTGGGCGGTAGCGTGACTCTCCATGTGGCAGAATAAACTGAAACTATCCAAGGGATGGCAGACGGATGGCCTATGGCAATGTATCTATGCCATACCATAATGTAGAGCCATTTACCTTAAGCGGTTTTTGTTGCGGGTGCTGTGGCAGGGGCAAATGGAGATACTTTCATGTGTGCTATGCTTATAGATACTTAAGTATATTTTTTATATGCATAAAAGTATATTTTACTACCCATAGAACTTTCAATTGAGGATTGGCATAGAGAGTATCCAGTTGGGTAGCCATGCGGTGATAACTTTACCTTTTATGAAGATACTTCCTAATGGAATCATTTACACACCATAAAAGTATCTTTTACTACTTGTAGATTGTTCGCTTTAGCTAAAAATTGCTCTTTGGGGTGAGAATTCCAGTCGAAGTCGTTTCACTAGCGATAAAAGTATTACCTGTGGAACGTGTAATTTAATCCTCGACTTGAACCATTTTCGATTGATTTTATGTAGAAATTGAAAGCATATGCCTGCAGGCAGCACTCAACTATCTATGAAAGTAAACTTTTACTTGTTGTAAAAACATTCAATTGAGTTGCTTAAAAAGAGTTTTACTCACTTGAACCATAAATATGAAGTGTACGACTCACCTTCAACCTCTGCTGCTCGCTTCCAGGAGCACTTTTGTGCCCGGCAGAGCAGTGCAGAAAAAAATATAACGACTGACAAATAATATTTTACGCTCTGTTTATTTGTGGACAGAATGGGAGAGGGGAGGGAGCTGCTGCGCCGGCTGCACTGCTGTAACGAAACGCTTTAATAGTTTACACTCGGATGTGGCTGGTGGACAAGGGGATGGATGTAGGGAACAGGGAACAGGGATAAGGATGCAGAGGATGTGGGTAGTGGATAGTGGGTAGTGGTGGTGGTGGGGATATGGTTATGGATATGGTTATGAAATGGAGAGAGCACTTAAAATGGCATAAAGCCATAAGAGGAGGTCACTTCTTGCACCACTTTTTGTGCCCACAGCAGCGACCGACCATTCCCCTGCATTCTCCGCCATTCCTTTTGTTTTGTTGCAAAGATACCGTACATACCCCATCCACATATCTTTTTTCATCGCTCGGCAAATGGTTTTACACGCATGTAACTTTACTACGGGTTACGAGTACTCCCTTCCCCCGTTGATTGTCTGCATACATACATACATATATGAATGTATGCCCCATTCGCACTTGCCACTTGCCATTTGCAACATGGTGGCATGGTGGCATGCTGTGGCATGCTGGGGCATGGGGCATGTGTGGTGTGTGCTGTGTGGTTCCGCATATAACAATCACAAAAAACTGCATGTTTTTATTACAAATTGCAATTGTGAAAAATTTTATACATGGCCGCATTGTCCCTCATCCTTTTGCAGCAGCATCATGTCACCAGACCCAGGACCCAGCACCCAGCCACCTAGCAGCTTCCTACATTCTGCTGCTGCACCTGCAACAAAAAGTTGCAAAAGGGCGGGTAAAGGGGAAAAAAGAGTTGATTTTTTTATGTTTTAAAGGAAGGAAGGCAGGCAGGCTCTCTTCCTGGGTGATAGTGTCGCCCCGAAAAATAAACTGCCACATAAAATTCCTGCCGCATATCCCCTGTCGGTGTCGGTGTCTGTGTCTGGGTCTGTCGGTGCCCTTGCCACTTGCTCCACTCGGTGCGGGGTGGAGCGGGGCGTGGCGGCGCATGGCATCGCACTTTTTGTTCCACACTCGCGTGTGTCGTGCGGCATGCATAAAGCAAATGAATTTATTTTTCTCGACTGCCAGTTTTTCAATTTAAATGCTTTTTGCCCCTTTGGCTAGTTTCAGCGCCCCTTTTTCTTTTTCCTCTATTTGTTAGGTATTTTTCTTCCTCTTTTTATTATTAGTTATTTTTTATTGGTTTGTTCGGAATTTTTCGTTAGGTTTTTTTTTTTTTTTTGCGTTTGCTCTTTTTAATATTTTTGTTTATTTTTATAATATGTATAATTTTTTCTTGAGTTTTTATTGTAATTCGCTTTATCCAAACACTTTTTTTTATCAGTCTTCTCCGATTTTCAGTGTGCCATAAATTTTTGCATATTTTCATTAGTTGTCAGCGCTGCTGCTTTTGATGATTTATGCATGTTTTTGATGCGCTCGCTCCACACTCTCTGCCTCTGGCTGCCACTCGTTGCCCACCCTTTGTGAATGCTCTTTCTGCATAAAAAGCGGAGGAGCAATGGGCGAATGAATGGGAGTGCCCACTGCCCACTGCCCACTGGCTATAACAAAAAAAAAAAAATAAAAAAGCAACAAACAAACCTATTAAAAATTTAGTTTGGTAAGGAAAAGTTTTTAAGCTAATGAAAATTTCTGTTGCACCGTTGCCAGTGGCCAGTGGAATGTTAAATGTGGCAACCAGCTGCGACACTGGAATATGGAAATTTTGGCAGAGGGAGTGGAGAGTGTGGAAAGTACAGAGGGGAGTGATTATAGAGTGATTTTTCAATTTGGGAGATACATAATATTTTTATTTTACCTAAATCATTTTATGTCTCTCTAATTTTATTTAAAAGAAATTTCAAAAATATATTTTTAAGTAGAATTTACTTTAATTTCTTGATTCTGGAATATTTAGAGATACACTCCTCAGGAGAATATCCATTATATGGAAGTTAATCTAAACGTATATCATCGTCTGTAATGTGGGTTTCAGGGCTCTACATATATACATACATAATGCGGGTGGTTCCCATAACTGTTGTCCGCTCTCTCTGTCTCTCTTGAAGTCGCGCATAGTAAAGCGGTCGACAGGTATCTGCGCTCTGCTCTGTTTGGGTGTGAAGTGGCAGCTTCCCCTCTCCCACTCCCTCTCCCTCTCCCACTGCTCTTCTCTGTCGACAGCAGCCACATCTGGCTAACGGTGATTGTGATGTTTTCCAAACGCCCACGCCCACATTTCTGCCACTCCCACACGGCCATACTCCAACGAGTGACGTCTCTAATGATTGTTTGACAAACATGCCCATCCGTAGAGCTCTCTTCCCTGCTCTGCTCTGCTCTGCTCTCCGCCCTTCTGCCTGCCCGTCTGTTTGTTTGTACGCCTTTCAGCCTGCCAGTCCTTCATCCGGATTCCAGAGAGCGATGTCCATAGAAGCGGCTCTTCTGGCTCTCTCTTTATTGAATACCAACACTGTGGCAGCAGCAACAGCAGCGGCAGCGTTCCGCTTTGTGGCATCTTTTGGGCGGCATCAGCCGTGCCTCGGACGACATGTACAGGATTTTAAAAATGCCACAGAAAAGCGGCACCATCGAGCGACGAGCAGCAGCGACATGAATTCGAAATTGAAATGACAAAGTAAACGGCGAGAGGTGAAAGTTGAGAACTGGAGAGCTGCCAAGGAATGGAAGGGAAGATGGGATGGGAAGAGCCAAGTGCAAAGCTAAGCAGCGAAGGAAGGAGCAGAGGGAGCAGCAGGAGCAGCGGGACCCAATCCCCCGCTTGAGTTTGACATTTTTGGGTTATGCTGCGATGAACATGGCCCGATATCGCTCTGCTGCCTCATGCCCCATGCCTCATGCCTCAGCGTATTCTCCTGTGCATGCAAATCTCTTACCCAGCAGCAGCAGCAGCAGCAGCCGAGTGGCAACTGTGGCACGGGGCAAGCGTGTGACAAGTGTGGCGGAACGTGGGAAAGAGTAAGCAGCGATTGAGACTTCAACAAATTAATCGCCGTGACTCTGGTTTTGACCGAGTTTACACTTCTTTTTTTTTTTTTGTTATCGCGCTATCCCGCTCTCGCCCTGTCTTTCTTCTTTTGAAAATGTCCTCTGCCCCTTGGCCCCGTATCCTTAGCCGATTCCCAGTTTGCAAATAAATTAGTTTTGCTACGTGAACGACGCAAATCTGAGGTGGGTTTGACAGCAACGTCTCCTCTGGCCTTTGCTTTTTGCTGTGGCGCTTGAGAAGTATTTAGATACCCTCTAGGAGTTGCATGGAACGAGTGTTTGTGGCAAGAACTAAGAGCCAAGAGGCAACCATAGAAGCATGCCAATGCCATTTGTCATTTGCATCAAGCAGAAACGAATGCGGTATCCAGAATTGTGATGATGATTCCACTTTGTTGGTCTCTAAATAGTTGTATTTTATAGTGAAATGCAAAAGATCATGATTAGCGGATAAAAAATAAATAAATTAATTAATAAATTCGCAATGGAACAGAGCTCCTCTCTCACTCTCTCTTAATTTCTCTTTTTTCCCTATTCATTAAAATAAAAGAATTAACAGTCAGCATGAAACATTTCCGTGTGTATCTGTAGATGGCCCTCGCTCTCTCTCTTCCAGAGTGTCTGAGCAATTAAGGGTGGATTTTTACAAAATACCTCCTTAATAGAGCCTCTTACAGGGCATCTTCATTGTCCGTACAGTCACGAAATATTTTTATTTTCCTTCTTTTAAATATTAAAGCGAGTGAAAACTTATCGATTGCGATGGTACGAGTATGCGAAAGGGACAGCAGCCGCTAATTGAAGTGGATTTCTGTGTATGTTTGTGTGTGTGTATGGCAGAGCCATCAATTATCCGTGGCATGCCTTTCCCTCTTCCACCCAGCAGCTAAAAGCATTTACACAGCAGAGGCAGAGGCAGAGGGCGGAGTGCAGGGGGCAGAGGCAAAGGCAGAGCTCTCTAGTTGTAGTTGTAGTTGTAGTCGCAGTCATCACATTAGTGGCTAAGTACTCACCAAATTGTTATCACTTTTTCCTCTTTCCTCGTGCTGTCTCCTGCTGCCTCTTGCTCCTTCCTGCTGTCTCCTGCTGTCTCCTGCTGTCTGCTATTACCTTCTACTGCCTCATACTGCTTCCTCCTGCGTGTGTTCGTTCAGTCGTTGTGCTTGCAACATGCCGCAACCGCCGCGGCTGCACAAGCTGCTCTGCGTGTGCCACATTGTCAGCCACTTCAATGGCCAAAAGTGGATCTGCCAGCTGCTGTGCCTCTACAACCTGCGCTACGACGAGGCCACGCAGCGCTTTGCCTTTGGCCAGCAGGTGCTCGTTTATTGTGCCCACATCTGGTGCCTGTGGAGCGGCGTTATCCTGTTTGTGTACGAGAACCCGACCCATGGCATACTGGACAGATACAAGATCTGTGTGTATGCCCTGCCCGGCATCTATTTTGGGCTGCTGAGGAGATCTTTGCTGCAGACTCTCAATGATATGTTGCACGTTCATCGCGGGCTGCAGCGCACCATGGGCTCGCTCTTTTGTGTGGCCGTTAAGAGAGCCTTCTGTTGGTCCTGCATAATAGCCGGGGAGCTGTTGGCCATCATCTATTGGCAAGTGGCATTGCAGGAGTACCCCCAGGGGCTTTTCCTGTTCAGCTTCCTGCTCTGCTGGTATCTGCAGATACTTTTGCATGTCAATAGCTACATTTGGCTGCAGTCCATCTATGTGGTGATGAATCAGGCATTTGTGGCGCCTCTAAACTGCACAGAAATGCGGATTATGATGAAAAGAATACTGAGAATTCAGCGTCGCTTAAGCAGGATACAAAGGGATGTGGCCCATTGTTTTAGTGTGCATGTCCTGTCGATCATGGTCCTCATATCGGGCCCATTCGTTGTGTGTTTAACCACGTTTCAGCCTGCCTTTGAGGAGCATCGGCAGAGGGTTGTGCTCCTGCACTTTGAGGTGCTGCAGCTGCGTTATATAGCACATCTTTGTCTGCTAATCTGCAGCCTGTTTTTGGCAATAAAAGATTTTAAAACCGAAAGAAATCGTTTTCTCGAGAGCCTTTGGAAGATGTCGCAGCCTGTCGACAGGAGAATCCTGGACGTCAGACAGTCTACGATGTCTCAAAGTCGCTACGAACAGCCACTGGATGTGGTAGATCTGATGGTAAGGGTGCAAAATATATATCTGGGAATTTTGATTATCTATCAACCGATTAATTTGCTTCCTTCAGCTGCTATCTGGAAATCTACCCAGTGATATGCGCGCCACGAAACTGATTGTATGGGAAATACGAATGGAAACGAAAGTTAAACTCACTTCACAGATGAAATCTTTGATTAAATATCTAGTAATGATTTTGCTGCTTGCCTTTCCGTTACTCCTTGTGGACATTTCGAATGGTTTCGATTTGAAATGGGAAATGTATACCCTCGGAAATGATACCACAGCAGCAGCAGCGTATGTCCTCAGTTGGCAGGAAAGGATGGAAATGTCTTGAAATAAACGCAAATAAAAAGCCCCTAGCGAAGCGAAAATAATTATGCAAGGCACGTCCGGGGAAAAAAAGGATTTGAACCAATAAATCAAAGGAGGCAAAAAAAAAATGGGATACTAAACAAACGCCAAGTGGGGGTGTTTGGGGGCGTGCCACCCGTTCGATTTATATACAAAATGTCAAACTGGAAATCTAATGAATGCCATCAATATGGCACTTGTGTCCCCATCATTCTAGGGCCTGCTCCGTTAATTAGCTACCCAATTGAGATTTGTGCAACGTGGCGTATGATTAACACGCGACTAATGAACGTCGCGGATGGGCGGGCTGTGTTGCAAGTGCAGGCTGCTGCCTCTTGCTGCCTCTTGCTGCTGCCTCACATCCATTCGCCTGTGAATGATTGAATTATTGAATCCATTTGCTCGACGGTAGACGGACGGACGTACTCAACCTGTGCACAACTCAATGGGAATTATTGACCACCCGCCACTGCCGCCATCCTGCCCCAGAACTAGCCTTCAGTTCGCTGCACAATGCAAAGCCTGGGCGGGAGAGGGGTGAGGTAACTGATTTCCGTGATTTCTAATTTCCTACATTTTCCCACTGGGGGAACCACCTGGGGAGGGGGAACTTCTCCAATCCGCCAGTTGACTGGCAAAATATTTCTCTCCGATTAACTGCATTCGAAATTTTTGGGTTTGTTTTTGGGGTGGTGTTGCCCTTGCAACATTAATGAGGCACACGCCCCGGATGGGAGTAGTAAGAGTAGTGCCCCATTAGCAGTGCTCATTGTCAGGGCGTCGACTAACACGCAGCAAAACCAATAGAAAACGGTGCAGAAAAGATCAGACGATGTGTAGTCCAAGTGTTTGATACTCTTTAAGGTTTAAGGTTTACTTTCCAGGGTAGTTAATAATTGGAAAAATTATTGAAATATTGAAAACTAAAATTCTACGGATTTTTACTACTTACAGTCACCTAAAGACACTTTTATGCTGCGTTAGAGAGCAGGAAGCGTATAATTTTAAGGCTTTCTACTGGCAGTAATGGAAGAATGGAAGATCTTTGAACAGATCTTAGATATATTCTAAATTTATTCTTTATTGTAGATACCTTTTTTTGGGTAAGGGTATAATACAAACTTAATTGATATGCATGTTGCTGTGTGTGTGTGTGTGTGAGTGTGTGGGGAGTGGACTGTAAATGCAATTTCCTTGTTTCCACTGGCACTCCTCCCGCCAATGCCAATGCCACTACCTCTATTGTTGCCACTGCCACTCCCGCTTTTGTTGCCACTGGCACTCTCGCTGTTGTTGCCACTGCAACTCTGCCTCTTTGCATTCGGTAATCAGTTTGAAATAATTCCAATGTTCAGGGCACATCTATCCCACAGATCTCCTGTCTCCTACTACTACTATATATCCATAGACACCACATTAAAAGGCGACGGCTTCACCAGCCCCCGATAATCATTTGATATGCGGCTCAATAAAATAAAAGCCCCAAAAAATAGAGGACAACAGATAATAGGAAATATACAGAGAGAGAGAGAGAGAGAGAGACACAGAGTGTGCAAGCAAGAGAGACAGACAGAGAGAGCGGAACATGGAGCTTTACGTATTGCAATTTGTGCAAAATGCAAATTTCCTCCACTGATGACAGCCGCAATTTTGTGCCCCATTGTTGTTAGTGCCACACCACACCGAGGGTCGTCTCCACTATTTGTCGTTGTTGTTGTTGTGTTTGTTGTGTTTGCTAACGTCCATTCCCATTGTTGTTAGGCACAGACTCCTCTCGAGTTTAATCATGTGTGTGTGTGTGGTGTGTGTGTGTGTGCAGTAGGGGCAGTTTGGGCCATGTGGCATGGCGTCTGTGTCTGTTCTCTGGTACGGTCACGGATCCACTATTGAGGCAAAATATATAGAAATTTAACTTATTTTGGTGTGTATCGAATTAAATTTGTTGAAATTTTAATATCGAATTAAATTTGTTGAAATTTTAATTTTAACAAATAAAATACGAATTTCAATTAAATTAAATGTATTATTATTATTTATGCAAATTTATGCGAAATTCAAGAACTTCAATTACAAAAACAAAATCAAAAAGAAAACTCAAATTTCTTTGTCGAATTTATTACTATTATTATTAATATTATTATTATTATTACCATTATTACTATTATTATTATTATTATTATTATTATTATTATTATTATTATTATTATTACTATTACTATTATTATTATTATTATTATTACTATTATTAATACATTCATTAATTACATATTTGACGCAGTCACGAATTTGCATAGGGCCTTGTATATCTGTTAAGCCTCACCCTCAGAACTATTGCTATTTGTATGAACCAGAGTGTCCCTTGTGTCATGTCAGACATTGTCGGCTGCATACCAATAAACACAGCAGGCAGGCAGGCAGGCAGCAGTAGCAGCAGCAAAAGCAGGCAGCAGCATCACTGAGCCATAGATAGTCCGAGTTTTAGTCCAAAGCCAAAGCCAATGCCAAAAGCCAGAACCGAGCTGAATTTCTGACTAGAGCCAAATGTCTGTCTGTCTTTTTGTCTGGCTGGTTGGCCACTGGACGGCACAACAATGGTTGACCAGCATTACTGCTCGCTCTCTCTCGCTCTCTCTCTCTCTCTGCTGTCTCTTGTCTCTCCTTTTGATTAACAATGATTGGGCATTATTTTTGCAAATAAATTCGAATGTCCATGAGGATGGGGGATGGAAATAGAGACGAGACGAGACTGGAGTTCATGGCTCAAGAAGGAATTTGTGTTTTGTTTGGCCAATCGTTGACATTTTTCCATGTATTCAAGTTGCACTTTATTGATTTGTGGCATGGGGCCATGTGGCATAATTGCACATTTGCAAGGACACATACAGTACCGATTCCTATGTCCTCCTCCTCCTTCTGCAACGATTGCAGCAGCAGCCAGAAGCCAGCAGCAGCAGCAGCCAGCAGGAAGCTTTTAAGCAAACAGGATGTGTGCCTTGCCTCTCTCTCTCTCTCTCTCTCGAACAGCTTTTAAACGAGGAAAGGATGGATGGATGGAAGGACGGACGGAACAATACTTAGAACAAGTCCGAGAACTTGAAGTGAAAACAATGCATTTGTTATGCAAAGCCTTTGATGTTGTCCTTGGGGTATAAAATGGTGTGTGTGCTGCCTCCTGCCTCCTGCATTGCCTGCTTCCTTCCGTCTGCTGATGCTGCTGCTGCTGCTGCTGCCCCTAAATGCAGGCAGCAACTACTTGTCAATGCCACAAATGATTACGGGGGGGAGGAGGCCCCAAAGTGTTTTGCCTTTTTATCGGGAAAATGTTCTTAAAGTTTTACTCCCGACTTTTCTGTTCGTAGTTGGACTTGCAGTTGGAGTTCCTGTCGAAAGTCGAGGCCTCCCTCCTGCCTCTAATGCCTCTCCTACCAAATGGGTCAACAGCGATATAATCAACTTCTAGAACAAACTTTTTGCCCCAGAACGAGAGAGAGGGAGAGGGAGAGCGACTGACCGAGCGACAGCTCAAACAACAAAATAATTAAGGTCCTTCAAACTTATTGACGTTCTTTTCTTTTGGTGTGGGCAGGAGGCAGGGGAATGCAAAAATAAAAGTTTATACTTTTTTTTTTGTTGGGAAAATTCCAGAGATAATAATTAGGAACGCGCCGGCCGCAAAAAAAAAATGTATACAAAAAATAAAAGAAGAACAAAAGCCAGGAAGTGGCCAAAGAGAGTAAACAGCAAACAGAAAAAAATAAATAAAAGAAAGATGGACCCTCAATAAATATATAAACCATAAAAGAAGGAGTTGGAGAAGGGTCGAAAATTGGAATACCCTTTAAATATATATGTGTACAGGGTATTATAATTCTAGAGAAATGTGAAAGTAATGAAAAGTGCATTTGATTTTATTCAGGAATCTCTCTGCGACTCTGTTTAATGCCCTACAGAAGCCCAGGCTCCAGGTCTAAATTTCTACATAAACGAATGTCGGGCGCACTTAGCAGGCAATTGCGAGATAATTTAATTATGCGGAGAAGGCGAAGGCTGCTGGCAGAAAACAGAAGGACAAGTTGGTGAAGCAGGAAGCATGGCAGAATCAAGGGGACGAGGGGACAGACAGAACGCAGTGAAGCAGCAGGGAGTGCTGCTCTCGGCTCGGCCCAAACAGGATAACAGGATAATGATAACGAAATAAGTAAACCAAAAAGGCTTACAGCACAGCCACAGCTACACGGCCACCGGGCCATAAAGAGCGAAGCGAAAGCACAGATAACATTTGTGTGTGTGTTTGTGTGTGTGGCGGTAAATGAAATGAAAAATGGCCAACGATAGGGCTACGACGCGGCACAGGGAACCAAACGTGTGTGTGTGTGTGTGTGTGTAACGGAGCGATAACAATAATGAGCGCATATCGGTCGGAGTACCGCTGTGGCTTAAACAAATTGCAACCGACTTAATTGCTGCTGCTGCTGGTGCTGCTGCTGCGGCTGCTGAAAGCGGAAGTGTGCCACAAACTTGTCGTCCGGATGTGGATATAAATTTATTCTACAGAGAATACAATGGCCGTGGCAGGCGGACAGGGTGGACAGGTACAGGTACAGATGCTGTGGACAGGACAGGACAGGCAGCAGCTTGTAAATATCTGTGGGCCAGAAGTGAAAATGCCATTAAACACAGCACTCCTAATTAGCGTGGAAAATACTCGCTTAATTTATGCACGAATTGAAAAGGTCAATTTGCCGCCGCGAAGGGAAACAGGACAGGACAGGACAGGACGGGACGGGACGGGACAGGACAAACACAACAAACAGTAACGCTTGGGGCTTAATTTTCCCCGGTTTCCGCGCGCGCTGCCTCGTTTCACATTTGGTTTTTCTCGTTCCACATTAATTTAGCACGTATTTTCGGCATATATTTCTCGATTGTGGTCTATGCAAAATGTTTTGTGTGTCCGATGAGCGAGGATCAGGAGAGCAATGCCTGCCATCTCTCTATTTTGTATTCGCATGGAAAATTTGAATGATTTGTAGTTTTGTGGTGTGGTGTGGAATTATTTAGCTTTTGGTCAAAGGTAAAATGAAAATTCTGCCATTTGTGGCAGACTTCATTTTAAAATGCGTAATGTTGCCCTGTATAGTATTTCCAGGTGCTAGATTTTTTGCAGTTCGTTATTGCTATGGGATTTTTTCTATAGATTTGAATGTCAAATTTCACATTGCTTCGATTTTCGTTGGTTTCCTTTGACTGAGAAAATTCCATGTAGAGAAATTTAACCAAAAAAAAAAAAAATATATATATCTTTCTATGGAAAAAGAAGGAGAAAAGAGAAAATAGAATAAAATCCAATTGTTGCATTTAAGAGGGAGAATTTCCATGAGAATCCATTGCCTCACTATGGGGAGAATTTTCGTGTATATTTTGGGGTAAATTCTTGGTTGATTCATCGATTGATGGATGCATTTTTTTGGTACTACTTTGGTATCACGTGTGGAATCTTTAAGAGTTTCTAAGCATATTCTTTTTAGCTGTAGGTCTTATTGGTAGACCGAATAGATTTGTTGCTGTATTTTATTTGAAAAATTGCTGCTAATATTTCGCCCTTTCGTCTAGAGCCTGCTATAGGCTAACTACTAACCCTTAGCCAGTATATAATAATTTTCCCATATACTTTTCTTCCATTTTCTATACCTTCCTTCGTTCGTGGCTCCGTCTGTCGCGTCAGAGCCAATGGCTGAAATGGCTTTAAGAAATCATATTACGGTTAACTGGTTAACGGTTAAGCAATGTGCATGTCAAGCACATTGCCACACTGGAAAGTTTGTTGCCCCAGCTGTAGGTGGCACAGTGCACTTTCAGTTGCAGTTGCAGCTGCAGCTGCATGTTGCATGCAAGACAGAGAAAGAGAGAGAGAGAGGGAGTGTGAGTGGTGCCCCTAGGCAGAACAGAAACAGAAGAACGCCTTGGCGCCCTCGTTTCAGTTT